ATCGGCGACATCACATCAATGGCGTTCTAGCTCCATTTTCGTTGTAACAACGTAAATTTTCAAAACAATTTTTCATTTCTTTAAAACATAATTTCATTCAAGACAAACCATAAAATCCAATGTAACATAGTCATAATAAAAAAACATGTCAAATCCCAAGATCAAATATATCAAAATCCGCCTGTGTGTGTACGAGTCAAGCCGACGCCTTCCCACGGTCCTCGCTAGTACCTGAAACATATAACACAACAACTGTAAACATAAATGCTTAGTGAGTTCCCCAATATACCACTTACACACATACGCCTTTCCAGACCATACTCCACATGACCTTCCGGTCCATGTGTCTCAGGGGACTTCCGTCCCAACCCGGTAAACTTTTCGGTCCTACCCGTGTCGACCTTCCGGTCCATAACTCCCTGACCTTCCGGTCTACATCATAATGCCTTCCGGCCCATATCATAATGCCTTCCAACCCATATCAAGCATAGCATACATAACGCATACAAAACAAGCAACTAATAGCATACAATGCATATATCTTATAGCATACCAGACCTTTCAGTCACACATAGGTACCTTTCCAGGTACAGTATAGTGAGAAGACTCACCTCATATGATGTCTAGTGTCTCACGTGCTCGATATCTCTGAATCTCGAAACAACGACCTAGCCTCGCATAATCACATCAAGTAACCATTCCAAATCATTAACGGCTCTCAAGGCTATACTACATTCCTTTATACAATTCCACAGAAGGGTAAAAGACCATTTTACCCCTCCATGACTCAAAAGTCCACATGTTAACCAAAACCCTAAAAGTCAACAAAAGTCAACAGCAAGCAGTATGCGGAGCGTACCCTTGCACTCCAGAAACGGGGAACGCGACCACCTACGCGGCGCTTACTGGGATTACGGCCAGCGTAAATCCCAGTTTCTTACTTTCTTCATTTTAGTGTCTTAAACAGTTAAGACATAATCTCATATTCCAGATTTGGCCATTCTAATACCTCTTAATCCATAAAGTCGAAACATTTAAGCCTTTGCATGGCTAGATTGGTTCCCACACCTTCTAACACCTTTCCTTTCTCCACCAAAAGTCTAGATCTCATGCATGGTCCAACATTTACGTCCAAGATTGCATTTTTATGAACATGCATCTCATATAGTCCTAGAATATGATAAATCCAGGCCAATGGAGACTATTTGCTCATAAAGTATCCATCTTGGGACCTTAAACCCTAGAATTTGGTCCAAGAAGGACACAACACAAATAACAAGGCAAGTTCTGAACTTTATACCTCAGGAAGAAGCTCCAACCTCTGTAAACCTCAGATCTACTCTTTTCCACCAACTTCTAGCTCCAACAATGGCCTCCTCTTCTCTTTCACCACCTTGAAATGGCACTTTGAAGCTTAGAACACTCACACATAAGCTAAGAACGAAGGGAAGACTCTCTTAGGGTTTCTTTCTGTGAGATGGTGGCTGAGAGACAAGACCATCTCATTCCTTTTATAGCCCTCAAGTCATATTAGGGTTTTGCATCTAGGCCGGTTACGCCCGACGTAACCTTAGGTACGCCCAGCGTACCTGGATGAATCCGCGTACAAATTAAGCACGCGAGTACGCGCAGCGTACTCACAAGCTTAACATTCTCACAAGGGACCTAACATGACAACTTGGAAAAGAAGAAGGGTTAAATGGTTGAACCGAAATTCCGGGATGTTACATTCGGCAACATCTGTGAGTTTTGTTTTCCCTTTTGCGTTTCAATTTCTCTTCTCCCCTACTGAATTTACCTGTGGATTGAAGGAATTTCGAGTATATTGTCAGGATTTTAAGATCCCCATCAAGCTAGAACTTTATATTTTCGATCCCGACCAACATTTTATCACAACCACCACTATATCGTTAGAATTTTCCATCACCCCCAACACACCACATGTTTTCTTTTTACTATTTATTTATATATTTAATATGTTGATTATGTGTATGTTTGATGTGTATTTATATGTGTATGATGCATGCATATGTGTTTTTGGGTGTGTATTATTTTCGTATGTGCATATTTGTATGTGTAGAAAATTATGTATTTGTATGCAATTTGGATACTACAATGCTATAATGATAAAAATGAAAAAACAATGTAGAATGTTATAATGATATGTTAGTAATTTATAGTTTAGTATAGTACAATGCTATAATGAAAAAATGAAAATATGCAATATCGTGTAGGATGTAGTTTGGTTATAATTTGAGATGTTGGTATTTTGTAGTTTAGTAATTGTTAGCTGAGTATATTACAATGCTATAATTCAAAAATGAAAAAAGTACAATGTTATAATGTATATGCAATATAGTGTATGATGATTGTTTAAGCGTATTTGGAAAGGACAATACTATAATGATATATTGGTAACTGTTTGTTTAGTATGTAGTACAATGTTGTAATGGAAAAAAAAAGTACAATGCTATAATGTATTTGCAATATTGTGTAAGATGTAGTTTGGTTATAGTTTGATATGTTAGTATTTTGTAGTTTGGTAATTGTTAGTTTCGTATACTGCAATGCTATAATGTAAATGCAATATTGTGTAGTATGTAGTTTGGTTATAGTTTGACATGTTGGTATTTTGTAGTTTGGTAATTATTAGTTTAGTATATTATAATGCCATCAGAAAAACGAAAAAAAAAAAGTACAATGATATAATCTATATGCAATATTTTGTAGGATGTATGTAAGTGTATTTGAAAGTACAATGCTATAATGGAAAATGAAAAAATAGAAGTAGGATCCTATAATCATCATGGCCTTAATTTGTAAAATAGAATGCTATTATGATATTTTGGCAATATATTTTGTTTTCTTTGTAGTTGGACATGCTTCAAACAAGGCTAAAAGACTCGACCTGTAATACGACACTGGAAGAGTGGTTTCGATCGTTGCCACCATGAAATGAAAACGAAGGAAACGAGAGGAGTGATGAGGACGAGTAACTAGTTTTTTAGAATTTATGGAATGTTATGTTTAGGTTAGTATCGGATGCCGTATATATTATCAAGTGGTTAATGTTTCGAAGTATTTTTTCTGCGAAATAATGTTTTGTAGCAGTTTTAATTTATACTTGTTATACTGTTTTTTTAAATATTAAATACTAAGAAAATGGAAATACAATTAGCAGCGACGCTTTTAGTGGCGACGGACATGTATTAGTGGTGACGGGTCTTTAGCGGCGACAATATATTTGCAGCAACGTAGAGCAATAGCGGCAATGTATGGATCATTTGCAGCGAGGCAACAGTGGCGACCTATTAACGACGACGCATCGCCGCAAAATCCATTAGCGGTGACCTACTTGACATTAACGGCGATACATGCCGCTGCTAATACTCGCGTTTCTTATAGTGATCATGTTTAATTGAGAAGTAAAAGAGATGTAGAGATCATCATATTTCTATATTTTTAAATTTATATATATTTGAAAAGAAAAGATTTCGAATATTGTATATGTATCATCATAATTATACTATTTAATTTTTGGTCATTTAGTTACAAGTAAAAAGTTACTTAACATGTTATTTATTTATTTGAAGTTGGCATTAAACCTGATATCACCTGTCCTAATAGTTAGCATCTACAAGCATGATTCATTTCACCTGTGCATCTCGCTCCGAGTTGCTACTCACAAACCCAAAGGATTTTTTAATGCTGTATGGACGTCTAACAACAGCATGTGCGAATGTGCTAACACATAATACAGTAGGCATATATTTGAAAGCAAAGGACACCAAATTGTAAATAAAGGACATTTAATGCTAAAAGCAAACGTTGAGTGACAACCAAAATATTTGAACAATAAACTGAAAATCCAAATCCATGTATGAAACATCTTGAAAATGTTGAAGATATGCAAAGATAAAAACCAAGATAAGAGTGCATCCGATCCAAGTCGTCATTCATCTAAGAGATTAACATTCAAACAATCATTGGGGAAGTACCAGATGTATAAAGGAAGGAACCTGCCTTTTCGACTTGTATCAATAATGGAATGGAAGTAAGCATATCTCTCAAATAGCGAACGATGATCAACCCACAAGTCTGATTTAATAGCAGCAGGATACTTGAAGCCATTAACAAAGAACGCACATTCTTCTAATGTTTTTTCCGACGACACCCACTTCATTTCCTCAAAATCTAGTTCATGAAGCGTGTATGAATCTTTTAACCCACGGTCCATCACATAAAGGTTTTCACCTGAACTTACAAACTCCCGAAATAAGAAGCTTGGCTGTTGAATATTCTTCGTTTGGAGTAACATCAATTTGGGCTCGGGATTGAGTCTCATTTCACATAAACTACAACGAATGTTTACGGTATATATCTTCCCTTTGAAAGCACGTAAATCAATCCCGAGGAAAGTGGAGGTGATATGATTCCATGCTCGTGTACCCGCTATAGAAAACCAAATTTGACGGGAGAATCTACAAAGCACCACAAACACCCAGCCAGATACTGAAGGTGAAAAGACAAGGATACCTCTGATCCTTGCTACATCACTACATGCATTATAGGGGAAACAAGGGAAATGAAGCTCGTGCTTTGTGATAGGATTTACAAGCCAGAAGTCTTTGGTTTTCCCCCCGAACAAGATGAGGTAACCACAAGTTAATCCAACACAGATCCTGCCAGCAGCATGGGGAAGGATGGTTTTGAACTTTCTACCTTCAAAGTCCTCCAGACAGCAGTAGCACTCTTTCTTCTTATAAGAAGGATCAGAGATGGACATCAACATCGGTGGTTTGGATGCCATAAAAATCTTCTTATTATCGAGTGCGAGTGACCTCCATGTCTTGCACACACCACTGAAAGCTAGAAACTCAATCACTCCCAGTTTCATCATAACCAAAAAAAGCAAATTCTGATCAAGATCTGACCAAGGTGCCACACCACCGTTGACTCTCTTCCTGCTAGATGATGATGCACCATCACGATTCTGATTTCTAGTCATACTTCTTGTCCTGGCCATTCCTATATGCAAATTTCATATAAGATACAAGAGTTGTAAGCGTACACGTATATACAGACATTTAAAAGAAGGGTTATTGACATAAAACTACATTGAAGTGTCACTTTTAGCTTTATAAGGTCCCTAAACTTTATTTGGACCTCACCAACACTTTTCCCCAAATCAACACTGACTGGAAACTAGCAATTCTAGAAGAAATGGATGCATTTAACAAAAATAGTGCTTGCAAAATTGTAAATCTTCCACTTGGTAAAAGTTGTTATTGCAAATGGGTCAGTACTATTAAGTGCACTGATTTATAACAGACATTTACCCTAAACAAATAAATTGAAATAATTAAGAATGCAAATAGTTAGAAGTTTCATCAATCCATCTATGTTCTTCCCTATATAATCTTCAGGAAAACACAAAATACAGATACAAAATATACAACATTTTCTCCATCTCTGCAATGTTCCCATTTTTGCAGTTTTCATTGTATCTGGAACGCATAAAAGAAAAAGTATCATAGGTTTACATGACCCTCTACTACATTGAGAAGAGTATGAAGTGTAACATGATTTTCCAGAACACATAAAAGCAACAAAATTAAATGAATTTCCTTCAACTAGGACTTGATACCTAAATGGTTGTTAGCATCAAGTTACCCTATATGGAAACTCGGTTTTCATGTGAGAATCCAAGTATTAGATTGGAAACGTTAAATCATCATATAGAGATCGAAAAGCTCATTTTGCAAACATTATTGCAATTTATCAACTGTAAAGTACAAACTCCACTGCTAATTAACCAAATTGAACTGCTTAGAACACGTTGAATCAATCAAGGGCAAAAACTCAAATCAGGTCAAAACCAAATTAAGGAAAAACAATAAAATTAATGATTAAAGGAAAATGATCGGATTTCTTGACGGAAATCCTTAAGAAATTATATCAGATCTTTTAACAATTAAGTTAAGGAAAAAAAATCAGATTAAAGGAAATGGTCGGATTTCAAGACGGAAATCCTTAAGAAATTATATCAGATCTTTTGACAATTAAGCTAGATTTTGTAGCCTAAACTTCAAATCAAATTACGGAAAAGATTTTAACTATGAAAATATAGAAACCAAAGAGGAAAATATACCTGCAATGGTAAAGACACGGCGTTGGAGGTGGAGTTCTAGGGATTGTAATTTTGTAGTTGAGACAAGCACAAACACTAGAGATGAGATGGGAATTGAGGGGTAACTTCAGGGTTCTATTTGGATAAGAAATTACAATCATACCCCTTAACAAGATGCGGTGAATGCACGTGACTTCACATGTGATCATTGTGCTTGCGCCAGTCATTCAATGCTGTATTAGAGCATATAATTTCTGGTATGCATTTGTATACTAAGAAACTTCATCATCCATAATAAATAGACATACAATAAACGAATTTACAACACCCCTTCACATAATATTTTCTTATATAGTATAAATGACTTACTCCATACATCTTGATTAACCATCTATTCAACTCAAAAAATAATGGCAGAATGGTTATGGAACCCATGTACATGACATGAAATATATTAGATGGCTTGATTGCAACTGGAAACTCAGGATCAAAATAATTAGTTAGCTACACAATGATAAAGAGACATACCTTGTAAATGATGGGATTCATTGCAGCAAACAAATAGCATAAGCAATCCATTGTGGTAAAGTAAACCGTTGGAAACGTTTACAGCAACATGCACAAACACACCCAACTCAATCCTATAAAAACCAAACAAATCAGAAATGGCAAAAATGAAACATACAAATTATTTTTATATAGATTTTTACCGGAAGTGAACTAAAAAGGGCAGCCTAGATTGGCAAGTAATGATAACTTGCAGAAGTAGAAAGTACAACGAAATCCCAATCTTAATAATATTAGTAACAGAAAAATCAAAGGAATCACAGAGATCTGATAGGTAGCTTTATTAGTAACAGAAACTGAAAGTTCACGTTTGGGCACAGTAAATCTAAATGTCCAATCTCTCGTCCAATATAGTAAGAATGATGTTAGAGATCAACTAAAGTAATGACAAACATAAAGATATCTATTGCTATTCTGACACAAACTAAAAGAAAATGGATTATACTAAATGCTAAAGATGTTAAAAACAATCCGATCAAAAGCATGAATGACATTGAAACTGCTTAACCATGAAAAGTGCAAAATGCAAAGCCACAAATGTTAGTTCTCAAAATCTTAAAAACGTTCCAACATATGCTAAAAAAAAGGTGAGTCATAAACCTTTTCCTGTTATATAGTGCAATTACGTCCACGACTTGCAAACTCTGCTGAATGAAATAAAATTAAGAAATCCAGTTGCATCATAACTAAAAAAAGCACATCATGGTTAAGATCTGACCAAGGCGCCACACCACTGTTGTCAGGAATTTTTCTAGATGTATCACGATTTTGGTTTCTACTCATACTCCAGTCTTTTACCATTCCTACATTTGCAAAAAAAAATAAAAATAAATAAATAAATTTAAGGCCTTCATAAATGCAAGAGAGACAATAGTTATAAACAAGGGACAAGTATTCACACTGACACGGTCATTGATAAAGGTTATACAATCTAACTGCGCCTATGAATATTTAAAATGTCCAAAATGACATTAGCAGTTGTTTATATATAGTACTTGAAAATTGTAGATGAGCCACATGGTCAAAATGTTTTTGATGAACACAAATGGTTGCACTTGCACCTACTCTGTTTCCTTCCTAAATACTCCTTTGCCTATAGCAATGCTTCTTTGTCATCAAAACCTTACCAAATTTCAAACAAACCCTGGATAATCCAATGCAGAAAATCAGGAGCATAAACTAAGAGGCTATGCTATTCCCACTTGGCAAATCAGGACCATAAGCTAATTGCCTAATATATATCGAGTTGTATAGAAGCACGTATCCAGCCTAAACTATTAAAACCCAAAACTAATGGAAGCATAAAACCTACGAAATCAGAAATTATAATATTGAAAAATCAAGTTTAAGTGAGGGCACAAAATCATGATCTGATTGACACATAAAATTGAAGACGTTGAAAATGATTAAATTTATAGATTTTCAAATGGTGGAAATAGCAAATATGGATGGAGATAAAGTGATGAACTGCTGACGCAACGAACTGCAGCGACGATTAACGGCAACCGGGGGGTGAGGCTGGGAGAAAGGGGAGATGTAGACGAGAGCCGAGGAACCATGGGTTCGGTTATCTGATAAGCAAACCGAAGAACCATAGGATCTCTGCAGATATTGGAGTGTCGCTGGAGGCTAGAGGGTGGGAGGGCTATATCCTCTTGACTATGTTTCTGTATAAAATCTTAAACTGTGATGTTAACCAAGGTTTCTTAATCCATTAATCCATGTTTCTGTATAAACCGATGGGGATTATTTTTTTATATTATTTTGACAAAATTGCAAAAATGTTCCCTACGGTATGTAAATTTTGGAGTTTTAGTCCAAACTTCGAGTTTGTTTGGATTCATGGTCTTTTTGGAGTGTTTTGTATGTGAAAATAATCCCTCTGGAAATTGAAATGACTATAATACCCTTGGGGTATTTATTTTTCATTTTTTTAAATTTAATACTTATTTATTTATTTTAACAATTAAAAAAATAATAGAGGATCCATTTCTCTCTCTCTCTCTCTCTCTCTCTCTCTCTCTCTCTCTCTCTCTCTCTCTCTCTCTCTCAAAACACCCCTTCGAATTTGTGCAATGACGAGAGGAAGAGTCGGATGTGAACTCATCAACTGCCACCACCATATTAAGTTATTAACCCACCTCCACTACCATCAACATTGCAACTTTCCTTTCCTTCTCGTCGTGAACCACTGGATGCCAAAATAACCGGGCAGCAGAGCTACCACCCACCGTTGGCAAAACCCACTTCACTACCCACCACCATTGTGACTGTTGGAACGCCCCTACTCCGACCATCTACCATCTGACATCACTCGTCGTTCTTCCCTCTCGTCATCCCTGCTGAGCAGAAGCAAGAACAAAGCAAGAAAGGCAACCGGAGCAACCTCCGACCACCACTACAGCCACCATATGCTGTTGCCACCATAATTTCAGCCACCACCACCACCTTCTACTGTTGCAATCGATTTACAATGCAAGATTACTTTTTCTGTAAGGATCGTGGGAGGATTGGTAGAGGACTAGGAAGCACAAGAATGTAAGGAGTGGGATCAGGTGGAGGGAGTGAAATGGATAAGCAGAGCACCTATGATTCCTCATGCATGTATCCAAGTCTCTTACAATTTTCCCTTATTTAATTCCAGCTCCTTAATTTTGTATTCCTATCTCTATACATGTTCATTTATTTGCTGAATTGGATGTCGCCGGACAGAAAATTGGAATTGTATGCTTCCAATGGTGATAACTCCTAATAAATAAATCGGAAAATAAAGGAGGAGAACAATGCACGCCAGGTGCTCAATGAAACACCTGAAAGAAATGTACCTTCACAAAATTGAAAGTGTCTAATTTCACACATAATGTATTCAAAGTTGAAAGAAAACATCAGACCCAGTAGCTCACGAGTTGGGTAACACCACCCATTTCAAGTTATTATGCAATGGAGAGGAGAAATCAAGATACCTACTCTAGTATAAACACAAACATATGCGACAGAGAGTAAAAATCGAGTGCCTTTGATATTCAAATATTTTACCTGCATGAAAAAGGCTCACAAAGGTGGAGGTGAAGGTGTTGGTGTGTGTTTTTCGGAAGAACACGAGAGAGAGAGAGAGAGAGAGAGAGAGAGGTGGGTCCTTTATTACTTTTTAATTGTTAAAATAAATAAATAAATATTAAATTTAAAACAATGAAAAATAAATACCCTAAGGGTATTATAGTCATTTCAATTTCAGAAGGACTATTTTCATATACAAACCACTGCAAAAGGACCATGAATCCAAAACACTCGGGGTTTGGACTAAAACACCAAAATTTTGCATACCACATGGATCATTTTTGCAATTGTGTTTATTATTTTTGTAATATTTTATTGAGGACATGACTTATAAGCGTCAGAATGTTTCAAAAAATGTTAAAAAACATCATCGAAGTTTTGCATGTTCAAAAATCACCATCCAATTAAAGATATGTCTAAAATACATATAATGTCCCAAATTTTAAGACCGGAAATTTCATTTTAATAATAATAAAACCATCATCCAAAACGTTTTCATAAAACCATAATGAAGTCAGAGCATGTCAATAATCATCCAGATACATCAAATCAACAAAATGCATCAACAAAACCATCATCCAAAACGTTTTCAGGTACCTCTGATGATCGCGGGAAGGTGAAGGCGTGATCATATAACTCCTCATATTTAATGATTTTATGATTTGATTCTGAGATACTCTGACATTATACAATTTTGAAAACAAGTTTTGTAATAATCATTGGTTTTGAAATGTTTTAAAAAGTTTAAATTTGGCATGATTTTTATGGATGTTACAAGTTTGTATCAGAGCCTTGGTTTGAGTGAATTCGAGGAAACACCCATGTGTCTCCAGTCTCAAGCTAAGGACAAGAATTTAAAATGATTTTTTTAATGGGTTTCAAGACACTAAAGGAGGATGAAAGTGTACAATCAGACGGAGCTCACGAATAGACCCTAAAAAACCTTGCAGATTATTTGGTTTTGTGATATGTTAGAATAGCACGCTAGTACTAGGCTAGGGATCTTCAAGAACTGCATGATAGAATTGCCTGATTATATGATGCCTGATAGCCTAGGGTTTTCCTTATATGAAATTAACATCATTATTGTAGTTGCTTAGTGTATGCATCACGGCTATACATAATTAAGATCTTATAGCCTGAGAATATTTGGTTTAGCTTTATTTCCTGTTCTTTGTCTGGTTATGGGCTTAGAGTAGGAATGAGTATTCGAATGTCTATAGGGTCCAATGTTATGTACGGTTAGCATACACGAGTGGAGTAGGGTTGGTGGAAGTTTCATGGATGGGTTTTGCGAGGTCGGTAGGCCAGTATAAGATATTTAGCATTCCTATAGGAGTGAGGATTAAGCGCTCACTATGTTTATGTATATTGTTAGGGTGTTGTGGTGACACTTGAGACAAATATGGGTAGGTGTGAAAAGTAGTATGGGTCGGTACTACTGAAAGCACAGGACCCATACGCGTAGCAAGGAAGTCACAACCCCTAGGATTTTGTTGGGAGTTGGTTTCCCGTTATTTATATAGATTATCTGATATATTCCAGGTATATTTTTAGTATGGTGGTTACGAGACGCTTTGTGACTAGATCCAGATCATGGTCAGGATCAGGAGATGGCGGTCAGGAGGGACTGACTGTGCCCGAGGTTGTTGGTCAGATGAGGGCGGATGAGTTGGATGCTAGGATTTGAGAGATCCTGCATGATGAGGTTGCTACTTTGTTCCGGGCACAGCTGCCGGAGATGTTTGGGTCTATTAAGACCACTGTGGTTGAGTATTTCGACGAGTGTTATGCATTGCTTGCAGAGACAGTTGTCGCAGCAGCTGCATTTGCTGTAACGACGGCAGAGGGAGGAGCCAGTCGGGCTTTTCAGTATAGGGACTTTAATAACATGAAGCCCCCTACTTTTGATGGGACTTATGACCCCATCAAGGCCATGAGGTGGATTTCTGATGTGGAGGGGTGTTTCTTCACATGCTCATGTCCTACTGACCAAAAGGTCAGGTGTGCCCTGAACCAGTTGAGGTCCGAGGCAAAGGACTGGTGGAGGTTGATGACTAGGTCTTACACTGATGAGCAGAGAGTTGCAGTTACTTGGGAGCAATTCAAGGATATGTTTCACGCTCGCTACATTCCACGAGTCGAGCGGGAATGGTTCGCATAGGAGTTCTTGGAGTTGAGACATGATGGTGAGACGGTGACGGAGATCACTTGTATGTTCACGGAGAGGGCGATGTTTTGCCCGAAGTTTGCTTCCAAGTAGGATCAGATGACACGTTATCTGAGCATGCTCAAGAATGACATACGTCAGTTTGTGGCGACCTAATGTTGTGATACACTTTTAGAGTTACAAGAGGCTTCTAGGCGAGATGATTTGGAGATTGAGCTGCAGTTGAGGGAGCAGCGGCAAGCCCCAACACAGTTACAGTCGGTGTCGAAGCGATCTAAGTCCGTTGATTCCAGGTCAGGGGGACAACAGGGTCGCACTTGTGGCGAGTGCGGGAAGAGTCATTCGGGGGTTTATAGATTGAGTAGTGCGTGCTACAAATGCGGCAAGGAGGTCCATTTTACGAAGGAATGTCTCCAGGCAGCCCCAGTTCAAGATATGAGGATTTGTTACCAATATCATCAGGCTAGTCACGTAAAGACCAACTGTCCACAGCTCACTGCCAGGCCGACATAGGCTCCAGTGCCGGCAACACTGAGGATTACCGATGGGAGGCAAGGTAGAGCGGAGCCCCCGAGGGTCTAGGGACGTGCCTTCTAACTCACAGAAGAGGAGGCTAGGGCAGCACCAGACGTGGTTGCTGGTATGTTTCTACCCCTTATCTTACCGATTATATATGTTTTATGCTTATATTTGTGTCTGTAATTAGGTATGTTTTTAGTGAACTCCTTACCTGCTTTGGTATTATTTGACTCGGGGCGAGTCGTGCGTTTGTTTCTCAGTCATTCAGTTGGGAGTTCAGGTTGCCAATAAGAGAGCTAGAGTGTCCGTTGCGAGTATCTATCGCCAACGAACATGGGGTTTCCGCTTCTTCAGTCTATTGGGGTTGCTTATTGGAGATCTTCGGGGTATCTTTTACGATAGACCTAATCTTGATTCCCATGGGGGATGTATGTGTGATTGTGGGTATGGACTAGCTTAGTCGTTTCGATGTCATGACCGACTGTAAGGGTCAGCAAGTGGTGGTTCAAACCCCAAGTGGGGGAGAACTGATTGTCTATGGTGAGGGTACCAGATTGGGATCAGGGTTTTGTTCAACTGTCAGGGCTCAATAGTACATTTAGCATGGGTGCGTGGGTTACCTAGCATACGTGATGGATACGCGGGCCAGGGATCATGTTTTGGTATCAAAGGTTCTAGTGGTAAGGGAGTTTGCTGATGTATTTCTGGAGGAGTTACCCGAAGTGCCTCCGAAGAGGCAGGTCGAGTTTAGGATTAACCTAGTGCCAGGTGTGACCCCTATCAACAAGGCGTCGTGCCGGTTGGCATCATCAGATGTGCAGGAGCTGTCATCACAACTGCAGGAACTGTTGGGCAAGTGGTTCATTCGTCCAAGCAGTTCTCCATGGGGAGCACCAATTCTCTTCATCAGCAATAAAGATGGTTCACACCAGATGTGCATTGATTACCAAGAGTTGAACAAGTTGACAGTGAAGAATTGTTATTCACTCCCAAGGATAGATGATCTTTTCGATCAGTTACAAGGACCATCTTGGTTCTCCAAGATGGACCTGAGGTTCAGGTACCATCAGGTCAGGGTTAGGGAGGAGGGTGTGGAGAAGACCGCATTTCAGACTCGTTATGGGCACTACGAGTTCGTGGTGACGCCGTTTGGGCTCACCAACGCGCCAACATTATTTATGGACTTGATGAATTGGGTTCGCGGACCAATGCTCGATCGTTTAGTCATCGTATTCATAGATAATGTCTTGGTATTCTCCAAGATCCGCGAGCAGCATGAAGAGCATCTACGAGAGTTATTAGGAGTTTTGAGGTGAGAACGACTATATGCCAAGTTCTCGAAGTACGAATTTTGGTTACGATAGACTCATTTATTTGGACACCTCATTAACCAGGATGGGATTTTGGTCGATCCGGCCAAAATCAAGGTGGTTATGCAGTGGGAGGTTCTGAAATATCCCTCGGATATCAAGAGCATTTTGGGATTGGCAGGGTACTACCCAAGATTCATACATGATTTCTTCAAGATTGTAGTACCCCTCAATCATCTAA